TTGCTTTTATTACTTTTTTCTTTTCTTATTTGTTGAGTCCTACTAATAAACCCTAGCCCTACTCTCTTTTTTTGTTATACGAAAAACCTTTTTGCCACCATGTCTTCCGATACCTCAACTATTTTGTCCCAAGAACGGCTACTTGACCAAGTTGGCCGCTCTTTGGGCCTAGGAGCTCGTCAATTCAATACCAACTCTTTTTGAACCCCTGATAGGATAGCCTTTCTCGATCATATTTTTGAACTTCAATTCCTCTAGAAAATCAGTATTCCCAAGATCGGAGAATCCCTTTACCAGCTCGACTAGCCCCCCGAGGGCTATTACACATTCTTTTGGGACACATGATGCGGTTGGTCTGACGTTTCCTCCAAGGAGAGATTTGGAAGAGATTTACAGCCATTGGCTTAAGCCTGTGGATAGTTTATTTTACCTTTCATGTAGGACAAATGCTTCTTTCTTAAAAGATCCTGCCACCAAAGTTCCAAACTGAAAGTCGAAGTTTTTTCTGTTCGACCTCTATATTTCCCTTCTATCTGGCTTTCTGAGATGTCGGACCAACGTAAGAAGCCAAAACGGAATCCCCATTATGCCGGTTTGATCACTGGATGGAATGAGACTTCTTATGATCTTATTCGTCTGACCAACGATGCTCAACTAAGGTCGGCATTTGGGCTATCAGGCTTACAATATCCTCGTACTGAGATAGAATGAATATATGATATTTTGTTTTAATTTTGTTTTTATAATTTTAAATTAATTACATCAATAAATAATACTAATGTGCATGACCAAAATAATTTTAGAAAAAAAATTAAAATAGTTTCATTAGAGCCAATCTCTCCCTCAGACAGATGCGATCGCATCAGATTCGATGTCGAAATAAGTTTTTAATAGAATGCATATATGACATAATATTTTATTTTAAATTCGTCTATATAATTTTAAATTAATTACATCAATAAATAATAATAATGTAAATTACCAAAATAGTTTTAATAGAAAATAATTTTAATATACCCTAAGTAATTTATTTTTATTTTCATGCCTTCAATATCTCAAACCCCTGTTGGGAGACTCACCCACCACTGCCAGGTGTGCGACCCGGGTCGACCAACGGATTAGTCGGAGCATAGCTCCGGATACCGTGGCTGGCTACCAAAAAAAAAAAAATATCTCAAACATAACAAAAAAATCCTAAGATTCTGAGAACCTCAGCCTGTCGACCTTGCAACGATTCGGGTGATCAAATTCGATTATACCAACTGGCCAGATTGAAAAAAGATATACGTTAATTTTTTCCCTAATATCTATTGATCAATAATGAAATATACAATCTCCCAAAGGCATATGACACAACTCCCGAATTTATATTCCAAATTTTTTTGGCCAAATTCATAAATTTGATTTTCGTATAAAAAAAAGGAACAGAATCTTACGATTCTCTTTATTTCTCAACACCTCATTTTTATCTATATAAATTAGATTCTTTTCATTATGAACTTCACGAAACACACAACACACAGAAATACAACACCCGATGAAAAAGTTCTAGTTATTAGCACAAAGGACAGCAGAAGCTCACACCTACAAGAATGTTCTTCAAATCGTATTTCATGATTTTGAGGTACGTGTTCGTAGATTACTATATTTATAGTGGAAATATATTTTTACTAGTGTGCCTACATAAGTTTATTTTATTTTCATTTATATATTAAATGAAGGATGTCAACTAGTAAATTGAAGACAACAAAACTGTTGCCCAACGGCTCAATGGTGGTTAAGGTCGAGATTCAAGAACTCGAGGATGGAAATATGGTTTAGGACCCAAATTTTAACAAGAATTTGGTAATAAGTCTCTACCATGAATCCAGGGTTTCGACAATGCTAAATTTATATAGTAGAAAATATTTTAGTTAGTGTTATATCCTATCAACCCTGTGTTAATCTTATTACAGCCCAAAATAAATTGAATTTATTTTAGATTAATTGATTAATTATATACTTAAATATAATTTAAGTATCTTTTCACTTTTGATTATGCTAGACTTCTATTAGAATCCTCCCTATATATAATTCCCGAATGCGCTGAGCCTACATGGCTGCTCCTGGTGCTTCGGAATCCTATTTGGCGAAGAATCATGCTTCG